CAAGCCGTTAAGATGTTTAAAGCCCCTTTCATTGTCATCTGAATTTCATTTGATGATGATATTCAGATTCGTGGGGCCAAATTTAAAGCTTATCACAGCAGCACCAACAGTTTCCCTCATCTCTGCTTTGATATCTGCACAGTTCTTTGTACCAGCCTGATATATAATAGACAGGCCAATGTCCACTTCACGCGTTGCCTCTCCAAAACCTGAAACGTACAAGTAATGTACAAGTTGCCACAAATTGCAGTAACAGCAGTAACAGCAGGGAGATATTTTATTTCAAGCCAACAGGAAAATAGTCACAGGAAAGTGTTTGAACAGACACAAACATTTACATTTATATACATATTAGCCACCTAACTTAATCATTTCTGCCGATAAAGGACCCTGCAATGTACTTAATACATTTTATGCTCACTACTGGCTTTGTGGCTTTAAATATACTATCTCCCCCTACTGGTAATGCAGTTTCTGCATGCAGGAACAGCTTCTGCGCTTTGCCTCTCCAGAACGTGAAATGGACACAGTGGACCACCTGTTATGAGTTTTGTCATGATACTGGGTTGTTTGTACACGATACAGGACCTACCTGGACCGTCTGTACATAACTGATTGGCCAGCACAGTAAATTGCTATATATCTTATGACAGGCAGATATAAACTTACTGATTATATTCTCCATTTCACTGACAGTACAGCAGCATTGTCAAACTGAAAGCTTTCATGGCACCAACTTCTCCACATTTTTTTACTCATCGTCTTCGTAGGTGTCGGTGCAGCACTTTCTAGTACTGTCACATTTCATTATGAGAAATGGGGTGTTTAGTTTGCTGCTGTTTATTTGCATAAATTTGAAGTTTAGGCTAGTTTATGCAAATCGGCAGCATCCAGCATGGCTGGACAAACAAAGCAAACCGTTGTGTATCTGAAATAAAGACAGAGCAGTCACTTGCATCTGCTGCTTTCAAAAACATTTCAATGGTATAGAAAGTTAGCAAACGAGCCCCAGTGACAGTTTCTGAGAGCAGAGAGAACTTAAAGTTGTGGCAATGGCTTAGCTGTCAGCTTTCGAATACTGTAGCTCAGCAACAAGCATTAAAAACACATCTCTGTGGACACTAACCATCAGTGAGCGGCGAAGGAAGTAAAAGCCAGACCAAGTGTGAGAATCTGCTGTGTCGTTTATGTCGTAAAATCATAAAATGACTGACAAGAGACAAAAACTGACGACGTCGCTGCTGTCTCGTTTTGTTTGGCATGAACATGAGCACAATTCATAAAAAGGGACAGTCGACTGAGTGTGTGTCCACAGAAACAAACTAAAATAGACACTGTGTTTAAAAACTGCATAAGATATATAATCTCTCCTCATGATACTTGTCAGCTGTCAGTGAAGAGCTCCCTAAACATTTGGAGTTATGTATCAAGTCTGCCTGGTTCTGCCGGAGGTTTCTTCCTGTTAAAAGGGAGTTTTGCCTTCCCACTGTTGCCAAAGTGCTTGCTCATGATTGTTGGGTTTTTCTCTGTCTGTATTATTGTAAGGTCTGCCTTACAACATAAAGCACCTTGAGGCAACTGTTGTTGATTTGGTGGTGTATAAATAAAACTGAATTGAATTGAACAGTGACAGTGGCTCAGGCTTGAAAACCTCCTCTATTACCACTTCAGAGGCATTTAAGACAGTTATTTGAAAACATTGACCTTTTCCATTTACTACTGCCATTCAACAATCCAGTACTTATTACCATAGCAGCACCGTTAGAATTCGTGGCAACCACATTCGGCATTCCCTTTGTAATTATCATGGTACACCTAGGATTATTATCGAGAGATCACAGGCACTCTAGGAAGCATTTAGGCACTCAGAAATCGCTTCCTTAGCTGAAAGGCCTGCAGCAGAGCACGGTTAGGCTTAGACTTAGATGGTCAGTGATGATTTTTTTTATCTTGTTTGTTTGTTTTGCTCTTTCTGAGCCATTCAAGCATGATTTTTAAGTTCTTTCAGTTAGCTTCCAGTTAGATTCCTTAAAAAAAGGATTTGAGGGTGTTCTGGTCCAGTTTCATATGAAGAACTTTCTTGAAAAGGAGACAGAAATCTAAACTGGCACACCTGCAGTGCTGCAACCGACACCTGTGAGAATATTGCATGGTGCATTGTGTTTTTCCAACATTCCAGTTATAGCTAAATGTTTCATAATAACCAGGAACAAGGTAGCGAAACGTAAGATAAGAAACGCTATCACATTCAGTGATTTTATTAAGCACTTCCTCCCAGTTTAACCTTGAGAGCATGTGCAGAATCTGCTGAAGGTTTAACAGTTTGTTCTGTTTATTTGAATGTACAGCTGCTGAGCACAAGGACTTGAACACAAGCATGAAATTTTCCCTCTGTACACTTCCCTCTGAACACAAACACACATCCACACGTAATCTGATTGTACCTGTCCTGCTGTTTTTGGAACAGAGAAAGGATCCCAGTATACTGGTAGCCTGTTGTAAATGAATCCAGTATAAGTGGGAAAAGAGATAAAGTCTTTAGTTCTGCTACAGGTTTACCGAACACTCAATGAGGAAAGAAAAGAAGACCACTTTTGATGTCTACCGCATTTTATGTTGTGGGTGCGTGTTAAAAGTGGGAACTTGCGGTCAGAGATGACCAGCACTGAGTGTGATTCTCCACTAAAAGAACTGAGAGAAGCTCGTTGACATCAATTCATCATTGTTTCCTGTGCCTCTGTCATAAGGCGAGGATTTTGACTGATGAGGCTCTTGTGAGTGTGTGTTTATGCGTGTGGGTGTCTGCTCTGTCTCCCAGCGTTGAGAACAGTCCTGCCACACGCATAATAACTCAAATTGATACCAAGCACAGCCCAGACAAAACTCTATTAGGGCATAAAGAAAGGCACCCGCTGTATTCCCGTGTGCCCCTGTCAAGGCAGAAGTGTGCCTTCTCATGTTTATAAAGATACCTTGGTGCTTTTGCTAACATTTATTCACGACTGTATTGCACATCTGTTGAACAGACCAATTTAAACAAGCTATGATGCTCCGTCTACTTGTTATATGTGTGTGTGTGTGTGTGTGTGTGTGTGTTTGTGAGAGACTCAGTCTGATGGCCTGCAGAGTAAAAGCATTCTTCGGATTCTTCAGAAGCACAACAGAACTGTACTCAGTGTGCCTACTGCGCTGACTTTCAACACTCATTGCCAGTGATGGTTACAGTTAACTGCTGCTTTTGGCTTCGTACAAGATTTACTAAAGACATTTAGCCAAAAGTAAGGAGATAAGATTTAGAGTATTTCCTCCTTGTTAAGGATAAATATTTTTTCTTTTAGTTAACACAAATAATAATACATTTCAATGATAGTGTTAGTGGACAGGAGGTTAACTTCAGTCACAGTTTCCTCTGAGACAAATTGAAAATAAACCTACAGCTAATTTGAATCAACTTTGGAGACATTTATTTACATTAGGCTTCAGTCACACAGATTAGAGAGCGGTGGGTAATCCTCCAGCAACCTCTGGGGAGAGGGGTCGCCCCCCAGTGTGCCAAATATGTGTATTTCCCAACCAGTTGGTGAGCAGGCTGTGAAAACCTTGACATTGCTTTGGTCCCCTACAATTTGCATGGAAGATGCTGACTTGTCTGCAAACACTACTACTACCTTACTAGTCGCCAACTAGCAAAACTTAAAAAAGTTGTGCCTCATTTTTAGAAGGCGCAGCTTTTACTTTGAAAGGAGGAATCTTCATTTCCAGTTATGCTTTTTACAGTTTCACTTAGAGCACAGGTGTCAAACTCCAGGCCTCTCAGGCCGGTGTCCTGCAGGTTTTAGATGCGTCCTTGATCCAACACAGCTGATTTAAATGGCTAAATGACCTCCTCAACATGTCTTGAAGTTCTTCAGAGGCCTGGTAATAAAACTAATCATTTGATTCAGGTGTGTTGACCCAGGGTGAGATCTAAAACCTGCAGGAAACCAGCCCTCGAGGTCTGGAGTTCGACACCCCTGACTTAGAGAGTAGATGGCGAGTGGACGTCTTCCACGCAAACTATAGAGGACAGTGGCAACTTTCTAGTGACCAAAGTAATCACATGGAGGCTTTACCTTTTTGCAGTCAGTTTTGCTGAGCGATTGCCAACAACCATTCATCAAGCAGTTGGGGAATGCACATTTTTCCTTACTGACTTGCGGTTGTCAGGGGGTTGCCAGCCAGTATCTGAGGTTTTTACTAATCAGTTTCATAGACAGCTAGCAGCCTCCCACAACCAAGTACCAACTTGTTGGTAACAGCGTTAAGAGAACAGGTTTCAATCCAATATTCTTCTTGAGGTGAATATCACAGTATCCCCATTTCAGTCGTTCCTGTGAAGTTAAAAACACTGAAAACTAAATGCAGGCAAACACAACGAGCACTTTTTGTATGTTTCTTGTTTTTTCCCCCCAAAAATGAAGTTGAATATACTGAACTTGAATTTTTTTCATCATATTTTGAAGGGCCATGCTTTACAACTCAAATGCCAACATTTTGATTCCCGGACAATCCCCCTGAACCTGAATAAAATGATTAAACATAAAGGAAGCAACCGTTAGCATGCAGGAAGGTGTCTTTGGTAGTGACAGCTTAACCTTTGCTGCCGTTTCAAATTTGCTTCTTTAAGCAGAAAAAAAGCTTACTTAAGACACAGTAGGGGCTTGATATTTACTTTTGACTGTGCT